TTAAAGCACAAGGTCTTCAGCTTGCTTCTGTATGAGGTTTAGTTGAATGAACAAATTAGAGAGAATCTTTGATGAGAAATCATATAAGACCAACAGTTTATCTTGATCCTTAAAGATTTCAGAAAGTGTCTCTTCATTGAATTTCAGTACTTTTAAATCTTTTGTAAGCTGATTTCTATCCATATGAAATGCTGGACATAAGAAGAGAAGGTGCTCTGGTGATGCACAAACTAATGTATTTATGCTGCAGGAGTTACACCACTTGGACACTTTTGAGAGTTGGATGAATTTTTTACTAAAGTGCCATGAATCTTGGGACAAAAAGTACAATATTTACTTTATTATGGAAGTGACATCCATGAGGCAGTTCACATGAAAGTAGCATATGGTACCCCTGTACAAATGGTTGAGGTTCAACGTATTTCCAATCTAATTGCAAATACAGTACTAACAAAACTATTTTTGCATCCAATATGATAACGACAGAATAGCAAAAATTCCAGTGAGGAAACTTTCACAGGTGGAAGTTAGTTTCAGGCAAAAAAGAGAGAACCTGGGAGAAAATCACAGGCGAAAACGGATGAAAGTAAATGATGAACAATGAAAAAAGTAGCAAAAAAAACGATATCAGGAAAATCGTGGTATATTCGTACTCCTAAATATATTCTTTGAAGCATTGGGAACACAATATGAGAATATGAAAATTAATTTTCTCAGCAATATTATTATTTATTTTATTTGAATCTAACATCAAAATTATTGTTAGGATTGCCAAAAATTACTGTTGAACCTTGCTGAAGGGAATCTCTCAAAATTTAAAACCTCCTTTTGTCAAATTTTAGTTTTTTCCCTGCCTGAAATCAGTAAAAATTATAATATAGGCCTACCTAACTTGAAGATTTTCCCTCTCTATAGCCCTTATTGATGTAACTGAAAATGTAAAAGGTCTTTATATTCTTATTCTGGTGACCAAGGAAAGAGAATAACACCAATACAAATTTAACTGGAAAATTCAAAAAATGAAATGAGTGACACATTGGAAAAATAGATACCCTCTACTTCAAGTTCAGCATCTCATTGAACTTATTTATGCAGTAGTTTAACGCTTATAATTTCACGAATATTACTTTTTCACGTCAGATACCTTTTTGCAATTCTTTCATTTTTCCTCAGCAAAAATGCTGGTTTTCCAAATTCAAAAAGTTTTGTACAGTGTCTGTCTGTTGGAGCTTGGACTGTAGCTATTCCATCTATAGTAGGACTGTAAAAAAGAAAAGAAAAAAGAATTCATTGGATAATATTGCATTTTATTTCCGGCATTTTCTTGCAATTTTTCCTTGTTCGCAATCTCTCTCTCTCTCTCTCTCTATATATATATAGGCTCCATCGGCATTTCTCTCGACTCATCCAAATAATTATTGCCTTCTGTTTATTATGTTTCGAAATGTAATCCTTCCTGTCTGAACCTATATGTAAGAGAATCATCTGAGCGAATCCATCGCAGCCAGCAGATTTCGGTACCTTAATCACGAACTTTTTTTTTCTATCCCTCCCCTATGCTGCCAATTCATTTCCGCAGGTGAAACTGAATGGACAATTGACAAACGTGCCTTTCCGTTCCGGAGATGTCTGGGTGACGAAGGAGACCCCCGTGACCCTGCAGGTGAACTGGGAGAAGGAAGGAGTGACGCTTTTGTGTGACACGCGATCAGATTTCTGTCGATTCCGTGTCACCGGCTGGCACCACGGCCGGGTTTCCGGGTTGCTGGGCTCCAACGACCGCGAACCTGTCACCGACATGCTCTCGCCTTCCGGGGAGGTAAATTGCGCTGAGGAAAAAAAACAAAACTGCTGCGTCGCGGGTTCTCTCCAAACAAAAATGTCATTTACCTTTTCCTAAACAAAAAAAGAAAAAAATAATCTTCATACTACAGTCGAACACAGCTAGGTAATGTATATGTGGACTCTCTCACCTACAACGTTTTTTTTTCTGGTCTCTCGAATTCCGTCGTATAGAAAATCTCCATAACATGAAAAGAGAACCCCATACAAACGGACGGCGAAAATTATTTTCGGATTTTGTTTCTGATCCCTTGACTTTTGTTGCTGAGAACCTCTATAAGTCTATAGCATAAAAAAAACAATATATGGACCAAAACTATTCTTTCTGCAGAAAAAAAAATCATTGTTGACAAAATCCTTGTAAAGAGCGTACACCTGTATATGATTTTGAAATTATTGATACGCAAATATGCCCTGTCGTTGACATGGGATGACTTAATTTATGCGAAAACAATTCAATTAAATAAATGAAAATAAGAAATAAGAATAATGAATTTCGCGATGGAAAATGAAAACGCGACAATCAACCAGAAACATAGCGGACAGGGATTTCTAAGAGTGAAAAATCTGGAAAGAAAACATACTTCAACTTGATTAAAAATTCAAATTATTTATCAATTTTTCAAGCTTGGCTTGATCCATATTCTAGAATCCTGAAATAATGAACTAAGACGAGGAAAGAAAGATCCTAGTAAAATATTCACATGAGTGAAGAAGTTGGGATTTTGCACTCGGTTTCCATTTCCTTGTGCATCTTTTTTTCGAACTTATTGAATGAAAAATGAGCGCTAAAAAGAAACGAAAAAATATCATATACAAAAATCAAGCAAGAATGTATTCTGTTTTTAAAAAATATTTATATTTTCGTTACTTCGAATCAGCCATTCGGAAAGGAAAAGGTTATTTCATCGTAACTGAATGCATGAATCAAAATTAACTTTTGATTATAGTTGTTGACAAAACCCTTTGCACTGTTGTAAAATGTTCCGACATGAGGTGTAGAAAGAATATTTGAAAATAAGGCGCTATTAAACTTGATTTCCATTCATTTTCTTGATCAAAATTTGAAAATATCGTATTAAATCTGAAAAAAAACTATTCGAAACGACGCGAAAACGTCATTAAGAAATTATTAAATGATCAAGTATATTACAAAAAATTACAAAAATGGAGAAAATTCAAGCAAATCGCGGGTATAAAATCGAGAACAAAGATAAAATACCCCCAAATAAAATAGGCGAATTTTTGATTAGCTGCTTTTTATTCTTCATTTCTAAAAAAAAAATAAGCGCAGCGCTTCATTTAATTTTCTGCGGAAAATTGACCACGAAGCCCTAACCCGGAAAATTCTGGCTAATTTATTCCATCAGTTGATTGAGTCAATCAATGAACTCGCTGGCAAATGGAAAGTGAACGCTGATTGTAAGGATTCACCCCAACCCTTCTCCGGACCCGGTTTACCAGGATGTGGAAAAGCCTTCAGGGACAACGCTTCACCTTTCGGGTACGTGTTTTTCCGTTTCACAAAAAAAAAGAAAAACCTCGTAATATATCCTGTCAACATTTTATGAATTACTTCCTGACGCTTTTCTTTCGATTTTGTTGTTGTTGTTGTTGATGCAGTGATTGCTTCAAGCGAGTGAACCCAGAACCCTTCAGAAAGGCCTGCATGGAATTGTCCGCCAGCAACGAGGAACAATTCTGCGATCTCGCGAACGCTTATCGCATGGCTTGTTTCGAGAAGGGCAAGGCATTGCCAGTCTTGAAGGATTGCAGTGAGTAAATAATATACACATTATCATTTGTCAAAAAAATTTTAATAGCGCCGGAAAATTCCGCAAGCGACCATAGGAAGTCTTCGAGCTAAAGTCATTGCTGGATTTTCAGTTCCTTGCTGTGAGGAATTTAAAAGAAACATACTGTATATTTTGGAATAAAATTCAAGAATTTCGTTGGGCTATGACCGGGGTGTTTTCACACTACTTTAAAGTTGGTATAATTCAGTCTTTTTTTTTTGGCAAATACACTTTCAATTTTCCCAACCCTTCTGGAGTGATACAAACAAGAGTCAAAAATTGAATGATGAAAAACAGAGAGGAAAGGAATCAGGAAAAATATCCTTCGAGGATCAGTGAGAGTTTTCGGAAAATAGCCTTTGAGTTTCTCAAAATTTAGTCTTGATGTAAACCAAGGAGGTTCAAAAGCAGGCGTAAGAACCAGAGTTACACCCTGATGTTCTCACAGAGATGCACAAGGACAAGTTTTTGGAGAAAACCCAATTCTTTTTATTTACAAATAGGCATGACAAATTAGAGTTTTGCTGTTTTAATTTGTGACACTTGCCTTTGCGCCAAATTCGTCAAATCAGCTCGAAAATGCTGCTGCGGGTCTTGTTCTCCTTCAAAAGATGACATTTGGATGAGCTCTTTCATTGGAAACTCTCTTATATATATAGACACATTTTTTTAAACACTGAAGATGAATTTATAATTGTCAAAATGTTTTCTATTTTCAGAAAAATGTGATTTCGATGGAAGGAGAATCAAAGAAGGTACGGAGACAGAAGTGAGAACTTCAGCGACATCAGCAGACGTTGTTCTCGTGGTGAACCAGGCCGAATGCTTCGAAAACGTTTTGAATTTGGACACTTTCGTGAAGGAACTTCGATCAAGTAGCAAAGATCTTGGTGTCACGTGAGTCCCATTAATTTTTTTTCTTGTCCAATTAACGTGAATGCACTGAAACCCCAAAATACGGACGATTCGACTTAAGGGCACTTGAAGATATAATAAATATGCCCGAAATCTTGAAAATGTCTTATTGAGATACGGACACTTTTTCAAAATTTATAGAAAAATGGAAATTTTTCAATTCTCAACATTTTGATAGCTCTGGAACAAATTGAGGTACAGTGCTTAACATTCCGAAAAAATAATAAATTCTACAGTAAATTTACTAAAATTCATAATTGAGACAGGATAATTTTTGTTGCTGATAATGATATAGTCCATCATTTGTGCACAGTAAAGCAGGCTTTTTCTCGTACTTTGATTCTTGCACTCTTTGATGCCAAAATATTACATTTTGTGTGATTTTCTCCTGCACGGTTATTTTATGTGCCAAAAGATCAAAGTTTGTGTGATTTTCTTCAACACAGTTATTTTCTATAATTTGAAGTTGAGAAGATAAACTTTTATTCAATTTTTGGAGGGTACATTCCTCAGTTTAGATGAACTGGAGAACCTATTAAATAAGTTCCCATTGAAGCATTTGGGAATACAGTACGTGATTCGGCATGCGCATGCTCCGACATACGGACAAGGTCCAAAGCCACCAATTACGTCCGAATCTCGGGGCCTTCTTGTATTTCTGCAAAAAGTTGTCAACATAACACTTTCCCATTTTCCTGATTCGAAGGCAGGCATCACATGCACTAAATCTTGCACGTCTTGAATGATTTTTCCCCTGCTTGATTCCTGAGCAATTATTATATTAATTGGACTTCGTATTTGTATCCGACGAGAGCTAATCGGAAATTTGACATGTAGAGATAGACATTTGAGTCTGCGAGGTTCACCTGTATAAAAAACAATTTTCAGGATACCTGCCACAAAAATAAACACTAAATCACAATTTGTCCCTCTATAAACAACAAACTCAAGAATCCAAATTCTCGGAAAACTTGTCCTCATACATCTTTGTGTGAACCGGGAAAAACTCTGGTTCACAAGCCCATTTTCTTGAAACCTCCGAGGTTTACTTCATTGCCAAATTTTTGGAAATTCTAGAACTGTTATTTATTCTTGAAGGATAGTTTTCCTGTTTTCAACTTCTCTAAATAAACTCACTTCTCTAGGAGATCTTGTACCTAACACTTGAGCTATTTGCAGATTGTGTGTGTTTAAAAAATTAAAACAACCTTATAATAGGCTGAATTTTAACCCCGGTTGTAGCCGGACCAAATTCTTAGTTTCATTTACTGACATATTATTTATTCTACTTTTCTAGATCATACCTAAGAATACCCATGAGAAGATCATCAAAAAACACTGTAATTTATTTCTCCACGTATGTTTCATGTCTAAACAGGGACTTGAGGGTTGGAGTTGTGGGTTATGGCCACAAGGAAATCGACCATGGGCACCCGACAGTGTTCACGTCTGCGGGGAAAGTGTGGTTCGAAGGGGACCCACCTGGCATAGACCTGAAGGGTAACAGCAATCGTGGTACCCTTACAGCATTGCTGATGGCCACTGCCTTCGAATTCCGGCCTGTTGCCACCAAATCCGTGGTGCTCTTCTCTTGCAAATCTTGTCAACGCAATTTGGAGGACGTGTTACTCGTGAGTATACCGTTTCCCATGTGAAAGATCATCTCTTTGAGTTGAATTTCAAGAGACCAGCAAAAAATAATAATAATTGACTTTATATGGAGCTTTTGAGTTAGGGAAAGAAGCATTTGTTGTTTGGAAAAATTTGTCAAGTTAAAGTTTTTGTCGTCCGGATGACGCCTTTCTGAATTGGCGCTAATCTCTTCCAGCAAAAAAAGTTTTTGGCAAGCCTGTGAACCGAACCCAAGTTTGGTTTCCAGGCTCCCCAAGGAAATGAAAAAACTACATTCCTTAAACATGGTCAGATTTGACCTCCAAAACTCTAATCCAACAAATGAACCTTTTCCTTGATTTCTTCTCTCTAAAACACTCTGTGTTGTGGCATCAATTAAAGCTGATCTTGGGAGAAGCAAACTGTTTGGGCAATTTTTTTTGTGTCGTTAAAATGTGTCTGAACTCACAGATTCAAAACATCTTTGGGTCCATTTTCAAAACTCTGTTTAAAATCCAAAATACCAGCTTTACACTTGGATGAAAAGTCCTGGCCAAAGCCTGGCTGATTGAATTATGTTCTCATTTTCAAATATTTTTGCCGATTCATTCTTGAGCTTGTTTAGCAAAGACTGTTTCTTAGCAATTTCTCTCAAATTCCTAGCTATTCCAGATTTTGTGAGTTACTTCTAAATTTTCCTCCCATTTTTGTTGATGGGAAGAAAGAGGAATTATATGAAATTATAATTGGGGATTTTTAAGGCTTTATACATTTCCTTTTAAATGAGTTGATGAGATGCTGGACTTGGAGACAAGGGTTCATTTGCCCAATTAGTCTTTCATTTCCTTTCAAAACACATAGAATTACATGTTCATTATTTTCTCTCTATGTGTCAATAGAATAAAAGCTGAAAGGCATCCAGATGATTTGATTTATATGTTGAAGCCTTTTGAGTTTGGGAGGGTTTTACAGCATTATTTCAAAGGCAACTCAGATATGGACTTGAAAGTTCATACTGTGAGATATTTGACTTTGGGAGACTTGAGTCATAAAGGTTCAATTTAAAATCTTTCCGAAACGTTTCAAACTACCGTATTTTCTCTTTGCTTGTCGCATGATATGAAATTTTAAATGAGGTGGAAAAAATATTTTTGGTACAATCTCCAACTTTTTTGAATTAAAAATGGTTTAAAACAAGGCCACCAACATGATTGATTGACGCAGTTTCGCGTTCTTGGGATTCTTTGAAATAATGAAACTTTTTGGAATTTATTATACGTATGTATATATAGGGTCGATATTATCAAGTTGAGAAGGAACTTCTTCTGCGGGGAATCACGTTGCACACCCTTTCCGCTCAAGATATCGAAGTGAAGAGCGGCCAGAAGAAACTCAAGAAACAAGTCATCGGTGAGTCCATGTCCTAATCTGAGTATTTTTTTTTTACCTCCTTACATTTATTCTGTCGAGTCTAAGACTCTAAATAAATTCCCGCATCATCAAGGAAAAATTGCGGATTTCATGAGTCACCTTGAGCCAGGCGATGAGAACTGCAGACATTCTTTGGTTTCACCTGAAAAACATACTGTGATTTGCTTCCGAGGTTTTTTTTTTTTCGAAAAATATTTGAAGTCTTTTAGTGCATGATTTGAAGAAAACGTGTTTTTTTCATGCCTCTGGAATAATTATTTCGACGAATCCAATTGGTAAAATACAGAGCAGTTTTTGAATTTTGGAATGATTTTAAAGTGAGAAATTTCCCGCCACATGTCTTTCTATAGATTTAAACTGAAGTGAAGCTTAATTTCAACGACGTCATATTTAGTTTCGCAAATTTATGGTACATAGTATTTCGTTTTGTTGAGAACTTGATATTATTACCTGGTTTGAGACGAAAACATACTCTGATGTTCACTTGATTGATTTAAACAAGTGTTCATCATGCTTTTTTGCAAGTGAATTTGGTGAAACTTTTCTTTTTTACAGACCTCTGAAAAATCGTTGGTTGTATTCAATACAGTATTTCAATTTTATGATTACTTTTGATGTAAATTTTCAATTTAAACGGCGTTATGGTGTTGAATTTGTTTTGTTATAATTCGATTTCTGAGGAGCAGTTTTCGAATTTAAGATAGAAATCTAAAAATATCTGCATATTTGTTCCGAGTTTTTCCATCGACTCAGAAGCTGGGATAAAAATATCCTCCAAGACGTGAAAAACAGCACAGGAAAAAATGCATTGATCATCAAAAACTATGACGTGGTTGAGGGTTTTCCAAGAAATTTTTCTTACGTAAGCGTTTTGTTTTCACAATAAGAACAATGATTTCCGATTATTTGCCCATTTCCGTGTGAATGTCACCCGAGGAAATGGTTTTCTCCTCGGGAATGGTGAAAATATTCATTGCTTGTTTTTCGTGGAATACAGTAATTCCGGATTTTACTCCATTTTTTTTCTTCATGTTCAACGTGCTTCAGGGGAAATACGTATTGCATGCATTTGCGTCGCATTTCCCTCAATATATACAAGGACGCATAAATCCTCGACATGAGAAAAAAAAAGATAATCACGACGAGACAAGATTGCATCGGAAGCATCTTCATTTTCCTCACTTCTCCAGTCCGCAGTTTATATTTTTTCGGCACAAGTACTCGCATTTTGCTGATTATTCTTTTTTTGCAGTTTCAATGCTCTCATTTTTGTTTGGCAGAAAAAATAATTGGTTGAGCACTGGTTATATACAGAGAGATGCTGTCAGCGAAAATATTCTTCACCCCCGTGTTTGCGTGGAAAAAGTAGATCATGCGATAGTTCGAAAATGTATCTTATCATGCAGATGTTGGTTGAATCTGAGTCTGCAAAAATTCTGCACATTTCGGGATCGCAGCACTCTCTCTAAAAGCCATTCACAATTTTTTTTGTATGCGCGCATGATCTTGCGAATCAATTTCCATTAAATCACATTTCCACAATAAATCACAGACAAATTGAATTCTATCGCTGTCGGTGTGATTTTTATTGTTTTAAAATTTTTAGAGCAATTATCGAAGGGAATTCCGAGATGCTTGGAATATTTTTTGAAGCCCGAAAAACGAAAATCGGATTTTATGCGGGTTTCAACCCAAATGTATTTCACAATTCAAGACTGAACAATTGTCTCTGGAAGATAATTTTCTCAGAATGATGCTCATAATTCTTGCCAACAATCTGAAGACTAAATACTTTAACTTCAATAATTGGCTTCCAGGTGACTCAACCATCAATACTATTTTAGTTTGAAATATATGAAAGGTAAGAGTACCGTTTTCATAGACTGTATAAATATAGATGACGAACGCTTGGAAAACGTTTCTTTTGAAGAGATTTTGGAATCAAAGCTTCTTTTTCCCCGGCTTTTGTGCAAGCATTAAATGCACATTTTAATGCCGTTTTCTCTACTTTTCAGGGGCTGATTCGAAGGCAGTTTATAAAACGAATTCGCTGAAGGGAGGCGAATTCCAACCGGACGTGGAACTGCGTGCAGGGATTTCCATTTCTCCGGATTACTGCACTCAACTCGCACAATCAGTAAGTCATTCATTCCCCTGATGCTTCTTTGAATGCCCTGAACTTCTCACAATTTTGTGAGTGCATTACAGATTTCAAGCTGCATTAAAAATATTCCAGATGCAAGAGACATCTGAGTGCTGAGGCAGTTACCCAGCCTCCAAGGGAATTTAATTTTAAAAATATTCCAGATGCAAGAGACATCTGAGTGCTGAGACAGTTACCCAGCCTCCAAGGGAATTTAATTTTAAAAATGCGAAACAGCATTATTATGACTGCTAAAATAAGGGAAGCGCTGGAGCATCCTCAATCCTTGGATATTAAAAGAGGACTTCATTAATGTCTCATCACAGGTTCCATGAAGACAACAATCACACACACAATCAGCAAATACAATCTTGCATTGTGCAATAAAAATGTGCTTCCAAAAATAAATAAAATCAGCAAAGAAAACACGCTTCACCTATGGCGCAATTCCTAATGCACTAATGTCCAAAGCAAATAACTCTGTGAATTTCAGACTTAGAACATTTTGGAACATCTTAAATTGAAGCTGGATACGTTCTTCAACTTGTCTTTAATCATATAAAAATTGACCTGATTAACAGATCTTGAGATACAGTATTCTCACTTTTATAAACCTAACTTTCTTTGCGGATAAGAATCTGGAAAACCTTCATGCCAGATTCTTATCTCACGCATGCAAAAGCTTTTGGTGCAAACAGTGACTTTAAAAGCCTTGTTCCTAGTGTATCAATGAATTTATTTCTGCAACACTCCTGCCAAAAAGTTTGTTTTTAATCATAATTTTATTCAATTGTTTTTTTCCATGATACAGAAATCAAGGACACTATAAAACCCAACAAACATGGACATTTCATCTCAGATGAGAAACAATCTAACTTTTTGAAAATTAAGAAATCATGCATTTAAAAATGAAGAACTTTTTTGTTAGAATTTCCAAAAGAAAGAACAAACGTTATATTAAAAAAAGTACTAAATGAAGCTTCAAATCAAAATGAAAAGAATTGAGAAAATTGATAAACTCAGCAGCACAACAAAAGGTTTGACAGCACCTCCGAATGCTGCAGCAATTCAAGAGACAGTGGTACAGTATTTTCAACGATAATTATCAACAGAGACTCAGAGAAGCTTAGTTATTGCGTAATGTGGGAATTCCTTGGAATTCCCCATTGCCACATTCAACTCTTTTTTTAGTTATATTTTATTCCGTCGTATTATTCGTATTTGCATGCCACCTGTATCCTACACCTGCCTCCGAAAATATTCATTGATCGACGACTTCAAAATTTTGAATGATTGATTAGGATAAAGAAAACATTGAAAAGGAAAATTAAGTCTTTTGTCGGCCAGGCTTCTCTTCAAGGGTTTTAAATTTTTCGGATACCTACGAGTAGATACAACTTTACATGCGCGCATTCAAACAAAATAATAGATTCCGCGATTAATCATCAGTGCGAGATTCAAGAAGTGATTGTCGCATGTCAGAACTCTCGCTTCATATCAAAAGACTATATATATTTTTTTATGATTCTCTGGTTTCGTAGTATTTTATTTCTTGCACTGCTCTTCGTTTCATACGGTATTTTGCTTGAAATTATTTTTTGCAGAGCTATGGTTCAGTATTTTCTCTGCCGCGGTTGCTGGAGGCCGAAGACAAGACCAAGCAATTCAGACAGGTCTTCGCTCGTCGTGTCGCGGATTCCTTGGTTGGCCCAAATAATGCCAATGTTTGTCAAAAATGCTCTTGCGTTCCGGGTCCGTGGGACAATCCGATTGTCAAGTGTGAATTGTGCGACCCGAGGGCTGGAGATTTGGTGAGCTTCCATGGCCAATATTAACCGAAAAACTAAATTCATTTCTTTCCCTGGAAAATGTGCTTTTGGGTGGTTTAAACCCTGAAAGACGGTGTGGATTTGATCAATCTGGTAAAAAAAAACTGAAACCCTGCAATCATTGGATGTTTCACGCGAAAGCATACGCGAAATTACAGTAATCACAAATTTATCGAGATTATTATTTTTGCTTGGGATAATCAGAATGTTGAAAAATGGATGACGTATTTCGGGAAAACAATTATGATTATCAAAAACATCCAGCGTTTTTTGCTGGATTTTCACCGTTTTTTTCGCATCTTTTAACCTGCATTAAAGTACCACCGAGCAAAAATTTGGATGAAACGGGAATTTTTGAAATTTCAGATTTTTACTCAAATAAATGAGACAAGATTTTTCATGTTGAGTCTGGCCCAGAAATATTTGTTAAACGATCGTATAAAGAGGTTATTGTCTCTGGAATTTAATGTTATTTGTGATTTGAAAGCCAAGTAATAGCGTCTATAACCAAAACAATCTCATAAATAAAACTTCTGTAAATTTTGGAAAGTCTGATACTACAGCTGATCCCTGAATTCTGCTTAAATTCAGTCGGAAAATCACGCTGGTGACTAAGTTCTGAATATAGTCAGGGGATTTTCCTGGTTCTGAATAAATTTTGTGCCATTAAATGACACTTTCTACTCGATGACAATTTTTTTTCTTTATGAATGAGGTTCAAAAACGGTTATGCGTCTCATAATTGATTTTTTCAAATTCTAGTAAACATGAAAATTCGTTTTGCTTGAACCAATGTTCGAAATGAAAATCAGAAATTCAAATTCTTTTAGCGAGTTTCGGTTGCAACTCGGAAATCCCGATTCGTTATTGAAAGATTCGCAATAAACTTTTAAACTCTGACTTCTGGAATTCAGTTGCATATTTTTGGCGCTAATTTCTTTCTGGAGGAATGGGGGGGGGGGGGGGGGGATTGAATTCCTCATTTTCTTACGCGAGGAAGATACTAATTTTTGTTGAAATATAAAAAAAAACGGATCTTATGGGAGGCATCATTAGTTTGAGTTTATATTCCGGACTAAAGCTGGCATTATTGCGTGCATAAATCTGATTGTTCTCGATTATGTTCCTAGCTATTTTAAAACATATTTCCATATGTATTGCAGACATATCGCACGAAGGACCAAGCTTGAAAGTATGGAAATTTACGGAAGCCCTCGAACACAAGAGGTTGACATCGTCTACGAATGTTCATAGCATCACCTCAGGAAAGTCAAAACAAAATGGTGAAACTCCGATTCAGTGGTCCAATTTTGTGTCCTGTTTATTGCCGTAATTTTAATATACATGCGTCTTTATTTGAAGTGTAAAATAAAAACCAGTAAAAAATTCCTGTGCACATTTGGAAGAACTCAATTTCTTGCTTTTGAAGTACCGTGTGTGCTGTTTGTTGATCGCTTGATGTATTATTCATGCATATATACTGACATCCGTGTATATGCTGAGTATATAGACTTTTTTGTGTTGCGTGCTTATTCACGCAGGGCAATTTGTACAAATTTGTCTTCCTGTGAATCGTGTGAGAAAAGAAAAACCAATGGCATTTTTTTTCCTGCGCTGACTGGTCAGAATATGTCGATGATGATGAGATACAAAGAAGACGGTGCTCGAGAAAATGTTTGTCAAATTCATTTCCATACTTTTCGTTATTTTTTTTTACGAAGTATGGGAATAGGGAATGAGGCTGCAAAAAAGCGACGTTTTTGGTCTGGGGTCACGTACATATGATGATCTTGATTCATTAAATTATTAGTCTGTAAAATATAAGTTTTCATCTCTTCATCTTCTGTTGAATTCTGTTGCGAAATTCGGGGCTCAAATTTTATTCATTCGCCATTTAGTGTGAAAGAGAATCAGATATAAGGAGAGAAGGTATTTTTCGTTAGAGGGGGGCAGTTTCTTGTTCACTTCGCTTAAATGACATTTATTTTAATGTGTTGTTTTATTTTAAGACTACCTGCTTAAGATGGTTCAGATGTTTTGTCAATACTGTGCAGTACTTTCAAATGATATCCTGCTTTGAAAAAGAAAGTCAGCATAAATTGAATCAGTGTGGGATGATGACTTTATTCACGTGAGCCTTCGTTCATTTTTAATGTTTACCGCATTCTTTAAATAAATCCCAGACTTGTTGATTTGAAACATGAAAGACACATTTACAGACAGAATTTCTCAACATTTTCAAAAAATTCGGAAAATTTTTCGAATTCAGACCTGCTTGTCAAATTTGCGACAATATGTCAGCATCCTTCAAAACTGCTGGTGGCCATCAGAACTAATTCATTAAAAAAAAGAAGAAATTATACGAGACGGACAAACTCATGAGCTAACTTTTACAGTACCAAAGTCGAATAAAAGGCGCTGTATTCTTCCTTGGAAATGATTTCTTTCGAACAAGGACTGGACATGAATATTTTTGAATTTCCATAATAGTGACGAAAAGTCCAAAGCTTTCATTTCATCTATATTTTAATTGTGTTGAATGTTATTTCTGGCTTTTCATCGTCAAACGTCTCATCCGATGATGCCTCGATTCCATGAATAATGATTATCCCATCTTCTGTACTGATGTACCTCGAATCAAACAGGCTGAAATCCCGGAATAATTGCACGTCAATCCCAACCGCAACACAAGTTCACAATAAAATCAGTTTCCTAACCGCAATAACACGCGGGTCATTTTGCATGGATTACCGACCAAGGGCTCAAATCTGAATTGCAATTTCACGCCTGACAGAAGCTGTTGGGAAACCTTCTCCAAACAAAGCGACGTGATTTTAAGTGAGAAATTATCGCCGGGTTTGTATGCATGAATGTGGGTGGCGTATTGCTCGAGTCGGCGCGTGGCTTTAATGTGAAATGAACGATGGGATCAACCTTGTCTGTATTTCGGTACATCGTGTAACTGACAAGACAAGACAGGACAAAAACAAGTCTGATTTCTTCTTCTTTTTTTTGCAAACATTTTTTCTTTGTGTCATGAGCTCGATAGCAATTTATTTGCATGGCCAAAAGGACCGAGCGGATGCTGCGGCTGGTAGGTCTCTATATAAAGCGTTCCAACCTGTTTGTGGAGACTTCGAAAATCTAACGTGTACTTTCAAAAATCAGGTTGCTGAAAAAAAATAAATTCCGATGTATTTTTTAAAATAATGTATATACTCAAACGCGATAAGATAGAGAATGTGAGCAGAATTATGACTTGATCAAAATTTGCCATTTTATACGCAAAGCAAGAACAGTTTTCCTTGCATTGAGACCTGGTTCAAATGAAACAGCTTCAACATACTTTTTAAATTTTCCTGTGCACAAAACCAATTACTGTATTTTATAGGAGGATTGCCAGCATATAATTTCGGCTTGTGATCGAAAGACTCGTGTCATGGTCATGATGAGTCATGATCGCATGAATAAATTAAAAAAAAAGAATTGCGATAATTTTACATCACGAGATCACCTATAAGAAGTGTTTTGTTTTTCGAAATTACTTCAGCTATACTGAGGCATTAGGAAAAAAATAATAATTCTTGATCATGCCTCTTATTTTTTTGCCGGAAAAAGGAGATACAGCGAAATCTCGTTACAACGAAGCTGTTGGACCGTGAAAAAGTGTTGATATAGCGTAGGATTGATAATTAAGTGATTTGAATGATGTTATTATTCCTATTGTGCAAGGACCTGAAAAATGACCTTGTAGCCAATAATGCATTGAACGTCTTCAATTAGAATTTCCTGGGACCAGCAAAAAAAATTTGGACTTACGGATATACAAGCATTTTTTGCGTGAGAAGGATAATGGCAGAAAATTGCACGGCTTCTCAAAAAAGAGTTGACAGGATGCTGAACAAGGCTTCAGCTGCCTAATAAATATAATTTCTTTCCAAAAACATATCAAGTTAAATTTTTATCCCTTTTCTCTTTCCTGTGTCAATAAAATAATATGCAACAAAAGCCTCAGAAAACCTTTCGGAGAAAGTTTCGGAGGTTTGAGAAAAAAAGCCTTTGATTCACAGAGGTTTTTTTAATGGATTGTTCATGACAAAATACAGACGGGGACTGGAAAAAAAAATTCGACCTAGTGAAGTTCGAGCTTTTGAGGTTCAACTGTAAATAATTCGTTGTAACGAGATTCTACTGCATACGTGTGATAATAACCAGCCAGCAGCAACGCCCAAGTGTGCTTCTCTGATGGAAAAACATATTAAAATTCAGTCATCCGGGATCCCCTGAAAAAGAGAAAAGAAATATATACATTATACACTAAAAATTAAGCCATCCCGGATCCTCTGAATATAAGAGAACTGAAGGAGACGCTCAGGTACGTGAAGAAAGGTTCTTTCAAGGGGGCACGAGGAAAAGAACAAGAGTATATGGACATGGTACAGTATTGTATATGTATATATACCTTCGCCTTTCTTCCCCAGCATGTACTGTATATATTCGTATATATATATATATATGGGCGGTGTTCGCATCTGCGCCGCAGTCGCAATTACTGACGGGAACTTGAATCCCATGCTGCCAGAACCCGGCCTGTGATCCTCATTCCTATCGCAGCTCCCCGAAGCTGAAGGGGGCTTTGGATTTCCGGTGTGTCGGCTTTTGATCATCAGGAAATCACTAGGTCATCCGAGGAATATTTTGCCTATTTATTTCCCCCTTCGCCGTTATCCGCAGCATCTTCCGCGAATTTTTTTCTCTCTCTTTTTTTTTTTATTCCGGTCGACTGGTTTCGCGACTTATATTTGAGCAACAGGCGTGTATAAGTGTTTCCAAACAAGCGGGGAAAATTATTGTGCAGATGAGTGAAACTGGTCTTGTTTGCTAAAAACAAGACAAAAGAAACGATATCTGAAAGAATGCTGCTTAGTTTTGAATTTTTGCTAATATAAGGCGGATTCCATGAATTGCTCTCGAATTCTTCCGCAGTCAAATCCGGATGCATCCAG